GGGGGGGCTCGGATAGAGGGGAACACTCTACCTTGGTTTCTTGTAAGGTAGTGTGGAATTCAACCTACGGAAAAGGTACTAGCGTTGACTTAATCCAGTAAGTCTACTCTACTAAAACCAATTGAGATTCCACGAAGTGTGCATATAACGTAATTTATACACTTCGTATCTCAGTAACCACTCAATCGATTTTATGGGTTCAAAGGGTTATCAGAGACTCAATCTATTGTAAAACCAATGTGCACATTGGAAGCGTGTAAAACTATTTTTACAAACTCAAATGTGTACAATTTCTACTATAAACAATTCATGCCTTTTTTACAATTTATTTAAGGCCCGTAATTGTTTAATATTATCTGCATAGAATTTTTAAAAATTAGTCAATTGAATTTTATATAGCAGTTAGGCCTATAAACAATTATACAGCAGGGTTGGCGCCAGGGGGTCAGGGCCCCGTCGAGGAGGGCTGCCCCCACCCCACCCCGTCGGGGATAAAAAGCACAATTCGTCGGGGAGAAAAAAAATATATGTATTTCTACATTAGTAGACGCTAAAACCACGCCTACTTTGCTTTCGTCGGGAAATTTGACTCCTCGTCGGGCATCGTGATTTTTAAATTACTGTACATGTAGAGACTAGATTAGATTCACTGTTTTAAGTTTATTTTATGTGTTTTTTAAGGCTCGATTACGTCAGAAAGCTAATCAGTAAATCATTATTTTTATGCCAATGTTAGTTTGCACAAATTATATAAGCGGGCGTATACGATTATGATTACTGGGATAAATTGCACTTTTTAGGCCTATGATAATAATATTTATATTTCAGTGGCAAATTCATAAATCTATAAATTTTTCAAAATTAATGAGAAAAAAAAAATTATATTCAGATTTAAGTACGGCAAACAGAGGTGCCATAATCATAAATTGTCTTACCTCAGCCCCAAACATGATTGGGGTTAAAGGTTTAAAGGTTAAAGGTTATTCATTTATATTGTGCAAAATACGAGAAGTGGTCTACAACCTGCATCAGTGGAAGTAGCGAGTTGGTGGCGGGCCCCAGTGCAAGTCTTGGTGGGGTCTACTAAAGCTAAACTTTTATGCATACATTACATTCTAAAATTGTTTAAAACGGATAATATTCAAAAATATTCAAGGATATTGGGAACAAAAAATAGTGAAGTCATATATATTTTATCGTTTCCGGTTGGGAATTTCATAATTAATATTGACATATTAATTGCTTGCGGTACACCACGTAGATAGTTCTGAAAACAACTGTTTTGTTAAAAATGTCTCGACGTTTCGTTTCTAGAACAATCAATGACATGATTCAGTGAAGTAAAAAGTATTCATTAAGTATGATGACCTGACATAATTCAAAATGTGTACAATATTTAAGTTGAACCAAATTATAATATGCCTACTAAACAAAATATTTCAATTGCTTTATTAATATGCTTTCAAACAGTATTTGAGTGCATCGTACCGTGGTACGAAGCATACGTATACCTAATGGAAGAAAATACCATTGATTGTATTCAAAAGATACGCAAGGTTGCACTGCCTATACGTATGGTCCTGTATAAGAGACAGCCCCCCCCCATTTCGAATTCCTGGATCCGCCAATATATTGTATATTGAAAATGTGTGGAAATAAATGTTAATTACATTTCTTAATATCAATTAATATCAATTAGATACGATTTATAGAAGGCTAGAACACCTGAGCTTCCAGGGGCTTCGGCCCTGTTCCCCCAACGGGGCACTGGGCGGCCCCTGACCCCCGGCTTGGGCTTTGGCTTATGGCCCTAGACTTTCTTATTTTGCAATTTGTTCCCACTTTAACCAGCCAACTGGTGTAGTAACGCATTTCAAATCTCTCAAGTTAGTAACTATGCAAGAAAACATTAGACTTACAGTATATTCACAAAAGAGATATATTGTACATAATGCTAAAGAGGATTATTATCACGCTGTAGATGAGTTCTTGAATTGTTAATTTTTTTTTTCAATCAAGTGCTGTGTTTGCTTATGTTAGGCCTTATAACGATTACACTTTAAGGGCCGTCGGAATCGCATCGGCCACATGCATACTTAAACAACGAATGGCCCACTTTAGGGGTATAAATTTTGATTGCAAGTAATTAGAGACGGCTTGACACGTATACCTTTGTGTGGTGACGAAAGTTTGCCTGACTCCAAACCCCAAAATGTTATAAATAGTTATTTTATATTTATTTTAAACATTTTCAAAATCAATCTTAGGCTAATTACTAAATTTAAGGATTGGCAGTCAAAAAAAATTATAAGTTGAAGTGTTCATAGACAATACAAAAACAATTGCATGGTGGATTTTTGTTTAAATTTAATAACATTAAAAAGACATTAATAATTAGCCTAATTCGTATAATTTATAGGTATAAGTATATAATTATTTTAAAAAGTATAATACAATTGATAAAAAGTGGTCCGGCCAAAGCCGGTGCGGTTCCGACGGCCCTGCCTTTCAAACACGGATCGACGCCCTTGAATGAGAGTCACCAGTAATGAAAATTTTAAACCATATAAATTAACAAAAAGTGAATATTAGTTATTAATTTACCATACAATTAACACAATGTAAAACTGTTACAATTTCAGGCGATTCCTAAGATTTTCTCAGCGGGTATTGATGTTACAGAGATATACAACAAATCAAACGACTACATCAACGCTTTCTATAGCAATATTCAAAACATGTGGTTGAGGCTATACGGCTCACGTCTTGTTACCATGGCAGCCATTAACGTAAGCGCGCACCGACGTTTGTCTTTGCTATCGTATTTATTCGAATAAATGTTCATTTGCTGAGAAGTTTTGTTTATTCGAGGGAGGCTTTTTTTTTTTTTTTTTTTAATGGATACGTATATACTCAAATAAACCCCCATTAATTTCAATGTAAATGCGTTTATTCGTGGGAGGCTTTTTTTTTTAAATGGATACGTATATACTCAAATGAACCCCCATTAATGTCAGTGTAAATGTGGAACTATACATAACACATAATTACCCTCAAAATTTGGATGCAATAATCGAATGAATGAATGAATCAGATAAATAGATGGATGAACAACAAAAAATGAATGAATTAATGATAGAATGAATGAACGAGCAAACGAACGAACGAACGAGCGAGCGAACGAATGAATGAATGAAAAGAATAAACTGGATGAATGGATAAACTGTTGGATGGTTGAATGAATGAATGATCAAATGAAGGCATTATTAAATGAATGAATGAATGAATACATGGACGGCAGCAAGTATGGATGAATGGATGGATGCATAGATAGATATTAATGGATATGTCAACGGATAGGTATATGGATGGATGGATGAATGGATAGATTACTTGATGAAATGAACCAATGGAAAGAAAAATATTGGAAAAAAATTTGTTAATTTATATAATTATTTCCAGGGACATAGTCCGGGTGCTGGCTGCCTTATGGCAATGTCATGTGACTTTAGAGTTATGGCTTCAGGGAGGTACAGCATTGGTCTCAACGAAACTTTACTGGTAGGCTTATGTTTGTTTGCATCATTACTTTGAAATAATTTCATCTGGTTTTGAATGTATATGTAGAATTGATGTTATTAAAACGATAACGAATTCGAATACGTCATTATCATTATCGTCATTCGTGTCTAAAACATTCTTGACAATATGTTGCACGACCTGAATATTATCCTTGATTCATGCAAAAGGCATGAATCGCCTACGTTGTGAGAGATATGCTATTGCAGGGGAAGGGTTGTCTACCAATTTGATGACGTAACCGTATTCGTTATATATCGTTTTCGTAAGCATGCAAAACTCCCTAATAATTTATTGAAATTAATGTGTATATTTCAGGGTATTATGCCATCATTCTGGTTGAAGGATACAATGAATAATACAATTGGGCACAGGGAAACAGAGAAGGCTTTGCAAATAGGTAATTTTGTCAGCGACTGTACAAATAACCTTCGTTAATGGCCCATTATTAGTACTAATCAAACTAATAGGCGAATTCATGTCTTGAACTGCGCATGCGCGTATTCAGTAGTATTCAAGTCAATCGACATAAAACCTATATGTTGTGTGTATGGTATCTATGTCGATAGATCTTTGCTTAAAACAGAATAGTAGGCCTACACGCACGGCGTTGAACGGGAGATTCCATCAATTCCTTTTATGTTGAGGGGTAAGTTTCAGAGAATATGACCTTGTATTTCATGGTCTTTTCACTTTTTCAAAAATGTAATCACTAATGTACCAGACCATTAATTAACCTTTGCGCAACTCTGCTAATAAGCAAACAGGCAGACAAATAGCGAAAAATGATACCATAAACCTCATTGACAGAGGTCATATAATGCTGATGATGTGGAATCCTTTATTTAAACTGATCAGGAAAACTGTATAATCCTAACGAAGCACTGGAAAAGGGTCTTGTGGACGTACTGGCTGAAGACACTGAAGTGGTGAATGTTGCCAAGAAACATATGGTGAACTGGTTGAAAATACCAGGTGAGTTCGATTGACTTAGTATAAAACATACAAGTATTGATATATACATTTACCTGGACATTTCAAGACTATTACCTACTACATCTCTTTACACACTTCACCACAATGGATTACAACGTGTCACAGTCGGCTGATTGTCGGTGGCAGAGCTGTTGCGCGCGCTATGGCCTTGTATTCTCAATGGAATCGCGGAATGAGTGCCTGGCTTAATGAAACAAAACGGCAGACAACGGTGCACACGGCTTTTGCAATCAACACATCTTGTGAATAATAACCTGATATCAATTTATATATTTTGCAGACCATGCAAGGCAATTAAGCAAACAAATGATGAGAGAGACTGCTCTGGATAAACTTAGAGCCAGAAAAGATGAAGACATCGAATACTACACCAAATTCTTTCAGCAGGATTCGGTCCAAAAAGTGCTCAAAATGTATATAGAGAGTCAAATGAAAAAGTAGTAAAACATTATAGCAACATTGGCTAACATTTTGACAAAACGATGAAATACGGTGTCTACTACTAGGTCAACCTGTAATCTCTTCAAATTAGAAAACTACTCTTCATTACAACACCTTAATAACTTAAAAATCAGTCCAAACAAATTAAGCTTCTTCTATAGTGGATGAGGAACATCAGAGAAAATTACAAGCAGCTATGATGTAACGTAAATAGAATAATAATATCATAAAAAGAACAGTATAAACGGTGGTTGTTAGATGACATATTTGTAAATGTGCAATTATAAATCCTATAATTGAATTCATTTTTGCTTATTGGCTGGACTATTATTTAATAACTATAACGTAAATACGGAAAATAACAGTTCAACTTATCCAGGAATTAAGGCCTATTACTCACCATACACTGCTCTAGAGTGACACAAAATGCAGTTTTTGTAAATCCAGGTATTATTTAGCATAAATATAGCTAAATCTACTTAAAATAGTACTGATAGTATTGTTAAACAAAAGAATTAGTCTGAAATAAAAAGGAAAAAATCTTATATTGCGTGGCAATTGTGTTTTGAGTCCTGAATAGTTTTTGAAAATGAAAGTCAGTACTCATTGTAACCTTAATTAAAATAGTTTTACTGTATCAACAGTGGCAGCACTATTGGGGGGGGGGGGGGGGGGGAGAGATTCCTCTCACTACCCTCCACCCCCACCCCACCCAACCAATCAGATTTCAGATGCTGGTCCGCCACTGTATATCAACTAATATGTTTTTGTTAAGCTAAACAAAGTTAAGTATCTAAGAGTACCAACATAAAGAGAGAGGGGGGGGGGGTTGGTTTTGAATATATAGAGATACATTCGTCGTTGCAAAAAGCTGTCGATGATAACATATGCAGCGATTTTATGAAAAAAAAAACAGCCTCAAGATGTCTCCAACAGCGAATCGTTTGCAACTGTTTCCACTTTTTAGTAATACAGCACTACTAAAATTGATATTACACAAAACTCATGCTTACATTTTATTTCATACTGCATTTTAGAACATTTTATATATAAACTGTTTTCTTTATTGCCAAAAGCTGTCGATGATAACGTACGCAGTGGTTTTATGAAAAAACAGCCTCAAGCCAAAAGCAAATCGTTTGCAACTGTTTCCATTTTTCAGTAATACAGCACTACTAAAATTGATATTACACAAAATTCATTCTTACATTTTATTTATACTGAATCTTATGACATTTTTATATATAAACTGTTTTCTTAATTAGAGACAACATGCACAAATAGTATAGTGATTCTGTCATATATTAATCTTTAACATTATATTATTTATACTCGGGAATTTGTTTGGTATACTTTTGTATGTTGTGGTATGTTGCTTTTGAAAGACCAGCAAACTTAACCATTACAGCTTCACTAACATTCATTCATGTATATCATAACAGTAACACCAATCATATACTAATTCATAATCAGATATATAAATATATATTTCCATAGAGCACAACAAAATGTCTTTCATAATTATTTAATTCATTGTCTATTAATAAAGATACACTCTCAATGTTGTTAAAAAAGAAATACATAAATAATATCTCTTTCCTTTTTCTCTTACACAGAAATTTTAATTAAAGCAATTTAAGGAATTTTGTAGTAAAAGGGTATTTAGGTCAATAAAATAGATTTTATCCGTGTATCATTGAAATGGACCTTTCTGTTAGGCACCGCCCCTTGGAAATTGTTGCTAAGGTTAGATGCGCGCATATTCTTGGCCCTGTTGTGATCGGTTGTTAAGTCTGATTGACACTCTTGGAAGGTCCATTAGATAAATGTAATACAATTTTTTTGAATGTCTATTTTTTTTTACATATTTTCTTCATGACGGCATATAAATTCATTAGGATACCAATAAAGTCTTTTCTTCATTTCAATTAATTTCATACAATGCTTATTATTTTTAATTTTTATACTTTATTATTCTGAATGGTATGCTCAATGTGAAATGTTCACCGTAGTTTTCATTGATGTCCAGATTCAGACAAAAATATTTTAAACATAACAGAAAATATAAATTGAAAATATAAAAAAAAAAAATCATATAAAAATAAACAGCAATTTTTAAAGTACTGTAATTTGGTTGGAATTGTGAAAATACTCAGCTATTTTCCAGCTCACAATACTTGATAATAGAAATGTTTTTTTTTTATAGATATTTTACAATTTTCCTTGATTTTTATGGCTCAAATGTTGCCAGCAATTATATGCAGTAATATAGCCATCTGAAAGTACTGCGCATATTAGGCATTTGATACATGAAAATGTTAAATACAAGTGGACAGCCCTCACTTCGATCAGGAAAAACGACCACGGTTTAAAACAGCGAGAGCACATTTATAATTACTGTTTTGTTAGCAGCACCACAGTAGGTAGGCCTATCAACTAGCATTATTAAGGCTGCACTATATGTACGTACTGTAGCTTACCGTACATATTTTCAAGTTTTTTGTAATGTAATGCAATTCATCATGACCAGACAACTACCACCATCAATTTCATTGTGTGTATAAGACTTTTTGCATTGCTAAAAAAAACAGCTAGCATAGACAAGGACGTTAGTTTTTGCTAATGATGTCAAAAATGTTATATGCATCACTGGTAGCCAATAAATTTGTGGCTAGATATAAACCAAGCTGGCTTTGCTCACTGTAATATTACCATATAGATGCTGTGTGAAAAAGGCTTTGTATTCTGCTAATTTGAATACAATAATTAATTTAATATTAATTTTTGGCAAATATTGAGGAAATATAAGATAAAATGGACACAATAGGAACATTCGTTTGTATACAGCCTCTAGACATCATCATGTTTTCATTTCATATGACACAAATTTGTGTTACTCCTTTGTAGTTCATGTTCTGGTTTGCAGTGGCATCTTTGAGACCATTTCTTTGTATGCCTTTCCATCGGATCCTGCTGCAAGGCGTTTCATGTGATCCAGTAAACGAACCTACAATTATGAAAGCGTTAAAGTATTTGCACATGTCAAGTAAATTCAATATCAAGTTAACACTTTTATTGTCAGGTTGATAAAGAATTTTGAAATGAAATGTTAATATGGAGTATTCGCAAGCTTACGAAAGCGATAACGAATATGGTTACGTTTTTAGACAATCCTTTCCCTACAATAGCATATCTGTCGGAACGTATACGATTCATGCATTTCGCATGAATCAAGAATCATATTCAGCTCATACAGCATATTGTCAAGAATGTTTGAGACACGAATAACGAGACGATAATAACAATGACGTATTCGTAAACGTAAGGTTGCAAAATCTCCCTATTATATAAACCAGAAGACTCACCATAAACTTGGTGTCGCCATGTCCATGTTTTTTGCCGAGGTTCCACAGATTGGTTGCTAGGGTGGCGATTGGTTGCTTGGAAATATCACCAAACACAACAATATGATGAAAGAGCTGAAGAGCGGTGGCAGCCTGTCGTTTCAAACCAGCCTGAAATGTAAAGTATACAAGAGCATTACAACCAAAAAAAAAAAGAATTTGACTCTCTGTAGTCTAGCAGAATGATGCTTACCATGATAGCAAGAAGTTGCAGGTTCGAATTCTCCAGGAAACATTTGTTCATACAACTGAATTAAAAACCAATTCACTATGAGCCAGATTATCGAATTTTCTTGAAAATGAACTGTTGTATGCCCATATAAAGTCATGATGTGCACATATATAGTGATGATGTGCCTATATATGGTCATGATGTGATGTCATCATGACTATATTTAGGCATGTCACATGTTTTTGTCAAATAAAATTCTGGACAGGGCTTTAGAACAAATCCTGTTAACATCACAGGAATTGAACCCAGGACCCTGGGATTGGAAGGCAAGCACCTTAACCACCAAACCATTCCAATTTATTCATGATAATAGTTACCTCTGATTGGCTGAGAGTTTTTAGATAATCCAGTATCTCTCCCACAAGAGTGTTGCAGATTCCATTAATTTCAGCCAAGAATTTTTTGTCACTGCCATACAGTGAGTCATTTGAATCAACTGTAAAACAAATAAAAATTAAAAATTATTATTGATGCATATCAATTATCATTGTTTTTGTGTCTCCTAATTTTTTTCTAATTCATTCTACTTTACTGAAAATATTCACAAATTAAAAATATGAAAAGAGAAATAGAAATTGAATGCATTGGCCTATATTTTAAAATTTTTTCAAATGACGGGGGAGTGGGAGTTGTGCGTCCACATATTTTAGCTGTCAAACTTTCTAAATTAGAACGTGAATGCTGTTCCTCCACCACCCCCCCCCACCCCACAAATACCCCTGTATAAAGTCCTGTATACACTCCTGGTTGATATTAATTATCAATAGCAATGTTATGAGAATGATGAATAGGCTTACCATTGGGGATGTGATAAGCATAAGTTTCCTGGGACTCTGCTGCTAGCAAGCACAGGACGCTCATGTAAACTTTAATCTTAGCTGCAGAGCCTTGTTCCCATGTGTAGTCCTGTAGGATGTTGAGCAGGCCTCGCACCAGGTACAGGCATCCATTGTCAGGATGGTCCTGTCATTATAACAGATAACAGTTTTAACAAAGGCAGTAGAGGTAATGATGATGATGAGGGTGACAATAATTATAAAAAATCTTATCATTTCACAGCAAAAATAACTTTCAGCAGATATGCCAACCAATTTCCAACCAAAGATCTTATAATTACAAGATAGCTTTCTCCGTGATTTCTGTGTGCAAATACTGTAATAACGCAAAAAAATTATTAGAAAAGTGCAAAGCAATTAATAGAGGGTGGTATATATTTACAAGTTCATGTAAATATTTGTGGTGAGGATTACTTACTGGGACAATAAGAAGAGTTGAGAGAAAATTCTGAATGTATGAAATCAGAAGAACTTCTGTTGATCGTGTTTTGCGGTCGATTGTAATGATTCTTGGTACTTCAGGAATGATGCTGATGGCAGCCTTCAGAAAAGCATCTCCTGAAAGAAAGTAACTTAAAAATGTGATTATAGGGCTCTAATTTTGGTGGTGATGTTTGCGCTTTAAAAATTATTATTATTATTATTATCATTATTATTATAATTATTATTATTATAATTATTATTATTATTATAAACCTGAAGCAACACACTGACTTGTGTCAAGCACATTAAATTTGTACATCTCAACTGTTGTAACTAAAATCTTGTGAATAATGGATACAAACGATCAATAGGATATAATAAACAACACAAATTTAAAAGCAACAAACCAAAATTCAATCAAGTATTTTCTTAAAAACTGCAGAAAAGGTGAAGGTGATCTTAATTTTTCAACAAGTAGTAATATGTTAGGATGCAGATGCTGTCTTAAATGCATTTGATCTATGCAGTGTTGGCACCAAAAAAGAAATGAAGGTATCTGATGGGGGTAGGAGATGGTGCCAGTTATCCTGGAAAAATGAACCCCTTTCTCTTACCTTGGGTCAGAGCTTGATTTAGAAAAGCCACATGTCCAGAAACTAAGTACAGGTTGAGGCGATGGAAGACATTTATAATTGAAGGGATTGTGATAAAACAGTATGCAGCACATGCCTAGAAAAAATGATATTTAAAATAAAATTATCAAACATCCCAAAGCAAAATCAAACCAAATCATAGTATATTTTTTCATTTCTATTGGATACCCCCCACACAATAAATGTGCTACTACAACAGATGACTAATTATTAGTGTTGTATTGTTGTCTCAAACAGAAATACTGTAGAGTGACCCCTATAATTCGAGACCCCTCTAATTCCGAGACCCCTCTAAATTTGAGACCGCTTTTTAAAAGGACCGAATGCAAATTGTCCATCTTTTAACACAAAACTAACCCTCTATTAAATGGAGACCAAACCCCAAGACCACTACACATTTTCAGGACCCAAAGTAGTCTTGAATTGGAGAGCAAATTGTAATCTGAAAAGATCAACCTAATTCAAAATTAAATATATACATACTCTAACAAAAGCAGCAGTTTTTCGGGAATGTTTGCCATGGACCACAGATCTTGTCTCCATTGACAACTTATTTACACACTGGAAGATAAAATGAAACATTGTTACAATCTTCCACTAAATATGAGTTATATCATCATAATATGATGATATTTGACCTTTCGTCTCATTTATCAAAATGCATTACAAACCCAAAAAAGAAGATAATTCTTTGGTAACCCTGAACCAATATCTTAAATCAAATTCTCTGCACCTCAAAGTGCATAGAATTAATTAACAGGATCACAGAGCAACTTACAGCTCAAGCATTGGAACTGTGAATAACGTTTTGAGAGCAAATCAGAGTTGTTTTACACTCGACAAGTGTGTAGATATGTAATTCAAATACTGATGTATCATAATTGTTATGCTAACATAGGTTCCAACCCTCCTGATTCGATCGGGAGTCTCCCCAATTTACATGCTTTCTCCCGTTCTCCCCAATTTGTTCAAGTTCTCCCCAATTTCAAACTATGGCTAGATTTGTTGTACTTACAGTACAACCACCCCACCCAAAGAAAACATGGGATTCGCACGATAAAATAGATGAAATTACTAGGCCACATGAATGAAAAACCCAATTATAGGCCTAGGTATCTCCATTAATTACATTTACGCTATCAGAATATTTCAACAATGAGGGCGCTTTCCACTAAATTTTGCAAATGGGGGCGCCCTTCTATTGTAAATTCCCCTTCTCCTGATTAAGGTCTAGGGGTTGGAACGTTGGTGCTTACCTGAACCAAAGTAACAAGCACGTCATCAAGATTACTAAAATAAGCACGAGTTTCAACGTAGAAGCTCAACTGCTGTTCAAAGTCACGCCCAAATGAAACCTAAAATTAAATTGTACATCGTAAGTGGATTTCTCGCATGATTAAAAATCGTAACGGTACTGGGTTTGGTCTACAGGAGTTTGTGCTTCGAACAAGTCATTCCATTCATAGAAAAACCCTTTTGATGGAGAAAGTGTACCTTTTTAGCAAGGTTTGCCTAGGTTGAAACTAACTCCAGCTATATAATATTGCTTAGAAGATTGAAAAATTGTTAATGAATAGATAAGGATTCAATCAATCAATCTTTACTTTCAATCATGAATAAAAACAAAACAACAAAAAATTAAGACGAAGGAAATACAGTACAAAAAAGGCAAGGCAAAATGGCATCGGTTGAACGCATTTTGTGTCGCCGATAGCAAAAGAGTAGTATCACATGGTATCGTGACGTAACACTGTAGTACTCTATAATCAGATAATCCAGGTTACTAAACACCAATTATTAATTTTCAAGCTATATTAGAGTACTACTATGGCTTCTGCATAATAAATAGCAGCCCTAAGTGTAAGTATTAAAATCATTGTAGGAACGTGTGGCAGAGCGTGTAAGGTGATGGACTTCAGCTTTTGAGATCGGTAGTTTGAGACCGACTCTTGTTGCATTGCTTGTGTCCTTGGGCAAGGCACTTTACTTACATTTGCCTCTCTCCATCCAGGAGTATAAATGGGTACCTGGTAGGATGACGTGGCATTGGAAGTATTAATCTGTATCGGCATTAAATTACATGCATGACTAGGTATACTCCCCAGGAAATGAAGGAGGTTGCACTGTGTGCTGGTTTCATTATGGATCCGATGACCAGGGTTAGTAAATAACGTCGCCAGCGCCTTGCATCCTTGGCAAAAGGTGCGGTATAAATCTCTATTATTATTATTATTATCCATTTTTTAAGAGAAATAATATTTTTGGTAAAAACTTACCTTCCTAATAAAGCTTGAAATAAGTTGACTAATTTCTGTACGTTCATCCTCTATAGTGAGTGCTCTGAGAAGTAAAATGAAATTTGTGTAACACTAAGTTAAGATGCTGTCTGCACTCAATACTATGGAGATCATTTGGGATTACTTAATCCTTAGCTTTAAAAACAGTGTGTGCCAGACTTCAGACAGTTATGGGTTGTTCTTGCTGTGTTTTACACACCTAAGAAACCAACCCTCCGGTCCTGTACAAAAATACTCTAATTAAAGCATTCCAATTTAGGCACAATATAACATGAAAGTCCTAGAGATCTATATATAACTATGATTTCTGAAGTAAGTATGTTACTCCACTATGACCCTAGTGACCTCCACACCCCCACACCTTAACCCAAGGTCCCAAGAAGAGAGAATCCACTTCTGGGAGATCTGTTTTACCCATGACTAGCTGATTTCAGGACGATATTTGATACAATAGTAAAAAATATACAAACATTATGAATTTGCAGGAGATGGGTTTTTTTCTGGGATAATTTTGCTAGCTTGTAGGAGTATGGTAACCGTGCTTGTAGGAGTATGGTAACCGTGCTTGTAGGAGAATGGTAATCGTGCATATTTTCGGAAGACTCCCGCAAATTGCGGAAGACTTGGGACCGGTGCATAAAATCGAGCACTCACTGTGTTGTACGATGACTCAAACTCCACTCCCTGTGAATGATAGATGACGCGACGCCTTCTGCTGATTGTCGGTGGCAGCCTAAACAGATCTTCATTAAAAAGGATTCCTTATGTGCGTGTTGTGTTGTTGTGTTCTACATAGAATCGCGTTGGCCGATGACTGTCGAGCGCCCGGCTTAAGAGAACTATGCATCAAGGCACTTCATATTACTGAATTTTACTGAGAGCAGTAAACACGCACATACAGTAACACGATAATCAGAGACTACTGATCCTTGCCCTGTTGCGTCAGATCTATGTACTAAAAAAATAATGACCCGCGGTTGATCGGCTGGAGTCGACTCAGCCTAGCCAAATGAGGCCTTGTGTAGGCCTCGCGTGGCAATCCCATCAATCAGTCCAGTAGTTTTTGAGTTATGAGCTCGGAAGGACACACAGACAGACTGACACACACACACACACAAAAACATGCGATGAGTAACTATTAGTATGCATGGTATACTCACGTTACTGAATCATGCATTGTTCTACAAATGAACATAAGTGCATTCAGAATAACAGGATCATTTGTTGGTTCTGTCTGGTGTCTGAGGAAACAAAGTAAATGATAATAAATGTTAAATGATTACAGTTGAACTTGACTAAGTCAAATCCAAAATGCCATTGGAATATTGTTCGACTTCGATAAAATTCGACTTACAGATTGTTAATTAATGGAAAACACAACAATTTGGCATGTAAAATAAGATCGATTTAGAAATTATTTGACTTAGGCACAGTCAACTTAGGCAAGTTTAACTGTTCAATAAATTATATAAATGATCACAATAAAATGATTTAATATGATCCCCATGTGGATTGATTTATCACATTTGACATAACATGAATTCAGGGGGTCCCAGGTTGGAAGAAATCCCTTCTGGGAGATATTGTTAAATGAGCTTTCTTAACGTATTTAATCTAATTTTTCTACACATAGTAATACCCAGCGGCACTGAATTCTGTGAGACAATTGATAATATAGTAAAAAAAAACATGTAAATATTATGAATTTGCAGGAAATGAGTTATTTTTTTCTTTTTTTTTTAGAAGCGGTTGGTGCATCGGTTGTGGCTTCGAAACTCTCGCTGTGCAAATCGCTTGTGTCCTTGGGCAAGGCACTTTATTTACGGTTGTCTCTCTCCACCCAGGAGTACAAGTACAAACACAACTGCACTGATTACTGGCTGCAAATTATGGAATAATAATATAATTTAATTTAATAATTTAATTTGCTGTTGAGTATGTGTTCCATATGTGTTTGATCCAATGACCGGGGTAGTAATGTGAAGCACTTAGAGGCAATGTGCATGAAGCGCTATATAAGAGCGACATATTATTATTTATTTCTGGACGATTCTTTCTTGTTTGTGAGAGTGCGGGAGGCTGTCCCATCTTCCATGGGACTTGGGGCCCCTGTGAATTTTTCAGGATCTTCGTAGTGATTGTACCATAATGTCCAATGTATCAGAGCGCTTTAATTATGCACTCCGGATACATATTATGTTACCATGTGCAATCTCCTCCTCCTTATATTGTCATTGCACTCAAGAGCTCGCTAAAGAACATACCTAGCAAATGCCTCCATGATGTTCTTACACACTTCTACTTTGACTGATTCTTTCTGGAACATGTCAAGGAATGGCAGGAACTTATCCTAGAGAAAAATTAATCAATAAAAATGATCATTGATAATATATCTCTAGTAAATTATGAATACTATTATTACTAATAACCAAATATTTTAGGTACAGGTACTGTGAATAGTTGTAATAAATTTTAGAGTATGAGAAAAATCTTCAAAAATTTCATCCTACCACATTCATAAGGTTTACAATTAAGCATTACAATGATGATGAATTTTTAAATATCACTTACCATGGCAAAGAGGATGGAGAAATCATGCATATGAGACAAAACCTTTGACATTACAGATTGCAGCTAAAAAAGTGAGGGAGAAAAAGATTTTAATGAAAAATGAAGTTAGACCTCAAAAAAATGTTATTTACATGTTTGACATACAACAATAAAGTACCTTTTCCTATCTTACATTTACACATACTGTATATATTTTACAAATCAATTGCAGTGCTCAGAGACTGATCGGGTAATGAACCACGGAGATTTATTGGGTTCCTGGTGTCTTTAACAGCTTTCTGTTAGGAAGAAGATGTGACAGACTTACACAGGTGTTTATACACAGGTGTTTAATACCTACGCAGGTGTTTATTACCTACGCAGGTGTTTAATGCTTACACAGGTGTTTAATACTTACACAGGTGTTTAATATTTACGCAGGTGTTTAATACTTACGCAGGTGTTTAATACTTACGCAGGTGTTTATTACCTACGCAGGTGTTTATTACCTACGCAGGTGTTTATTACCTACGCAAGTGTTTATTACCTACACAGGTGTTTATTACCTACACAGGTGTTTATTACCTACACAAGTGTTTATTACCTACACAAGTGTTTATTACCTACACAGGTGTTTATTACCTACACAGGTGTTCATTACCTACACTGGTGTTTATACACAGGTGTTTAATACCTACACCGGTGTTTATTACCTACACTGGTGTTTATTACCTACACAGGTGTTTATTACCTACGCAGGTGTTTATTACCTACGCAGGTGTTTAATACCTACGCAGGTGTTTATTACCTACGCAGGTGTTTATTACCTACACAGGTGTTTAATACCTACACAGGTGTTTATTACCTACACAGGTGTTCATTACCTACACTGGTGTTTATACACAGGTGTTTAATACCTACACCGGTGTTTATTACCTACACTGGTGTTTATTACCTACACTGGTGTTTATTACCTACACAGGTGTTTATTACCTACGCAGGTGTTGTTTATTACCTACGCAGGTGTTTAATACCTACGCAGGTGTTTATTACCTACGCAGGTGTTTATTACCTACACAGGTGTTTAATACCTACACAGGTGTTTATTACCTACACAGGTGTTTATTACCTTCACAGATGTTTACTACCTGTACTTACCTGTGGGTAATTGTCTTCAAAAGCACGATCTGGTAGCATGTGTTTGATTATGTCACCAAGTATTGTATTAACCTCTCGTTTCTATAGGAACATAACACAATCAATGTGATATGAACAGAACTTTGAACAAAAATATGTTGTAGAATCCAAAGGACTCACTCAAAGATTATAATGTAAATGTATTTATTTAAAGCTATGTTAATTTGTTTAAATTTATGTAAATTTATTGTTTATTATTTATTTCCAAAGAACATCTCTGATTGCTTCACATTCATAATGGTCAAAGAAACAATGAACATACACACAATGTGTTGTTTATAATAATTTGTTTTTTACAAGATCTTATAATTACAAAAAGGAAAGCAATAGCTATTTAATAGCTTATAGTTACTTGTGAAATACTTTCACAGTAATATATCAAATTATTAAGTGTTCATACTTACAGTGAAATGCTTGCAAGGGTACTCAACCCAAACTTCAGCACAGCTTATGTATGCCTAAAAGATAAAACAAAACAATATATGTTTAAATCGCATACCATATTTCATACTACAGTATATTACAATTAACCATTTGACAGTGTAGAACAAAACATTTCCACTAATTAACATATTATTAAAACCAGGTGCTCAGTACATCTGCCTTTCCAATATACAGGTCTCCCTCCAATTAAAGACCACTTTCGGGGCCAAGGTTTCCATGATCTTTAGCAACTTTGATCTCTAATTAGAAAAATAAAGATAATGGGGCTGGGGCTCCAGACTTTTGCCATGGTGATTTTGTTGCTTTTGGGGCCCCAAGACACTTGTCTGAATAAATAAATGAAATGAAAATGAAATAATAGACATTTGTTAATTTGGAACCACAGTGGGGTCCTTATGGACATAATACCGGGAAACAATCCCCTACTCTTTTCCGAAGAGTGTACTGCGTTCTTTAACGTGCACATGGGCCATAATGCACACGAAACCAAAGGCCTAAACATCTCAACCAAAAGACGGTGCGCTATCGTAACTTGGATTCCAACCCTTCACCAGCGATGGGAATTGAACTGGGGACCAAGAGATCTTCACGGCTCAATGCACACAAAGTGGCTACCACCAGCTTAGCCGACTGAGCTTAGCTGCAAGTTTGCTTCATTACATGAGTGGAAGTTCATGATGTTTTGATTTTCTTGTCAAACACAGATGATAGCATGCTCATAAAGATGAAGATGTGAGCAAAGAAGTAGAGTGTGGTACTTTTGAACACTAACCTTTGGTATCTTTATTTTCATGACAACCTTCCAGACTTCGTTGAGTACGGTGAGGCGCTGATCCTCAGGGGGATCAGCCAGTACCAGATTAGTGCCAAGAGAACAATACAGATGATGCTAACAGAAAAAGAAAAACCCTTAAAGTCAGGCTCCGGAGGGAAAAAATGTTTTTGATATGTTGTAGAACTGATTTTTCTAAGACAGAAAAAAGTTGTTTGACGAAAAACTGGGGAACGGTGAATGAGATACAGATTTTTTAATATTTAAAAACTGGGGGAATAAGGGGTAAAAATGGGCAGTTACGCCCCAGTTACTGTCAAAATTTTTTTACTTCAACGAACAAAAGGAGATGATGCTAACAGAAAAAGAGAAATCCTTAATAATCAGGAGGAGATAAAATTCAGAATCTATAATAATTTTTTTTACTTCAGGGTACAGGACAGTGACAGTGGAAATGAGGGGTAGGTAAGGTACAACGTACAAAAGTGAGATAAAAAACACTGGATGCTAACCTTTGGGAAGCCAGCCTCTTCACATTCCTTGATAAGTTCTGTGAAGCCTAGCGCCCTCTTGGAGATAAACTCTGGCTTGAATGCTGAGATGATGGAGTTTAAGAGCAATGCACTGAAAGTGAAGATAAAAAAGGAAATTAAATATTAAAATATTAATTCAAAAGTAAAATTTTTAAAACATTTTAATAATATATGTTTGTCTTACTTATTACACTGTTTCTTGCATTTAGCCAAAATTTCTGTTAGTGCTTCCTGTAAAAAATAAACATAATCAATATTTAAATAGTCATGAAAAAAATTATGTGAAAAATTCGTATCTGACTCAATATTTAGCTAGTCAGGAAATCAAATTAAAAAATTGATACCTAACTGTCGCCCCCTATAGACAGCATTTGAATTGCTTATTTCGGATGAACTACAGTTCACCCTCCAATTCAAAAACCCCTCTAATTCCAGACAACATTTTCAAAAAACAAAATAACAATCTTTAATATTTTAACACAAAGCTAACCCTCTAATTAGAGACCAAACCCCGAGACCACCCCAAAATTGTCAATTCTAAAAGGTATCTCAATATTAGCTCTATGTAGTGCTGGGGCAGATGCAGGGGGTTGCAGACGGTGCGATCGCACTCCCTAAATTGTACGAAAGTGTAATTTCCGGGTAACTAGAAGGCCATATTCTCAAAATGTTCCTGGTGTGGATTGTCACACACACCCTCCTGCCAAATCCTGCATCCGCCCCAGCAGTGAGGTAAATGCAAATCCTATTAGAGCTTACTGTACCTCTGATGTCTTGTGAGAAATACACTGCAGAATCCAGTCTAATGCTGGGGAGTACAAAGACAGATAAATTGCCATCACAAGTCTCTGCACAGCGAGTATATTCTGCACAGAGTCTTTCTGGAGCTGTAGATGAAAATTCAACGAAAGGTATTTAATGGATGTAGGCTTATGGCGAGATAATGGTGCAACTGATAACACTTAAAAAAGCTTTCAAATGGAGTATTTTAATGTGAGGTGTTCAGAAATTCCAATGAAATTTAAAAAAAAAACTGATAAGAAGATGGTACCTGCAGATGAGAAATTTACCAACAAAAAAAAACCAATCATTGTGCATTATTGTGAAAATATGATGATGGTATTACAGATGGAAATTCAACAAAAGCTTTCATTAGAAAGGATATGCAGATAAAAAATCACAAACAAGTTATCAATAGAGTACAGTGTTCTTATAGAAAAGAAACATTTTGTGAGGAATTTTCAAACACAAAGCTAAACAAAGCCTTTGCCTTGTTTTAGGTAAATCCTCATACAAATACCGAGCAGATGAAAGTTTCAGATAAGCTGTTAATATGAGAATTGAAAAAATAAATAAAGAGCAGTAATGAAAATTTAAAAATATTGGATTATGTACTCACTTGAGGAAAAGTGGACAAGAAATCAAAGAAGTTGTTAATAAGATGATCTTTAACATCAGGTGCTACTGCAACTCCTACCTAAACATATAAATAAAAAAATATTATAATATAATGTTACATAATTATCATGAAAGATAAACTGTATATTTGTAACTAATAATGGTATCTTTTAATTATTATTGTTAACATAAAACCATGTTTATTTTGAAGTTTATTTTACGCCATGAGAAAGGGGAACTGTATTTTGGGCAAAATGAATATTCAAAAACATACTTCAACTAGGCCCCTTAATAGTAAACTCAGAAATAAAAAAAACTGCAATTAAACTGAAAATATATTAAATTACATGAAATGTGTAGCCATATAATTGCAAGTATTCAGTTATATAGTGAGGAAATAACCATAGTTGTGGTTGACATTGGTAACATACCCGACAGAGATATGCTCTGGCATAAATAGCCACCAGGGGATCACCAATTCCTCGCATCTGATTGGTCAATCTCAGAAGAGCTTGGGAGTACTCCCTAAATAAAATAAGAAGCAATTAAAGATTAGATAAAGAATTGCATTTCTTAAGGTATAAATGGCTGGGGTAAATTCTTGGTTTGAGTGGGTGAATATTCAGAAAATAGATAAATATATTATATAATTTGAAAGTTAAATCTTAATTACTTCAACTTTGAATGTACTAAATAAAAAATCAATTATTACCCTGTTGTTAAAAAGCCATAGCATTTCATAATTGCAACTTCAACATATCTTGGAAAAATTAAGAAAATGCAATAGTAGGTATTTGTACCAATTTTACAACTTATCCATTTGTAGCCTATCCGCTAATGATCTTGCATAAGCAGAAATAATATTGTGGCTTTTATTGCCTATACACATCTCATAAGGATCCCTGCAGTTTGTCTCTGGCTTGTCATAAAAACTTCAATCAAATATATTAATAAAAATAAATATTAAATTACTGCACTGCATTTCTAAAACTTGCAACTAGTATGAGGCAGTGGCGTATCTAGATCTCCTAGATCTCTTGAAATAGGGGTGCTGATGGGGGGGGGGCAGCGTGAAGGTGAAGTGGGGGACTCGATGATCAGTTGAGGGGCGCTAATTAGCAAAATGAGGTGATTTTAGATGATTTTTAACTACTTGACCGTGATTTCTGAGGAGCGACAGGCAGGGGGCGATAGTAATTTTTTTGGTGTTCTCCCCACCCCCGGGCACCTCCTAGATATGCCACTGGTATGAGGCAATATAACTAGGAGCAGAAAAGCCTTCAATGTATTTAAAGTTTGTATTGACAAAAAGGTTTAATATTTTAAAGGCAGGATTGAAGGTTCTGAGGTGTAACAAAAAGGTAAAGGATACAGTCTTGGAATTAGTTCTCTGATTGAAGCAATTTTGAAAAACCAGTTGCGACACGTCTCTTTGGCCGAGTCGGGCACTTGGTCTGGTGTGAACTTCTCCGGTAGCATCTGCGGACTACTGCTGCCTGGTGGTTGATATGTCGACTTGCGACGGATCCGATCATATACAAGTTTACCTGGTTGCATGGAAAGAATTAAATTCAGAATGAACCTAAACAAAAATATGGTTCATAATTATGTGAAATGCGGCAGATTACACAAATCAGAAGTGAAGGAATGAGGATGATGCTTAGGTGTGGGGGGCGCAGTCACATGCTGGGACAATCAGTCAGTTCTATTTTGTCTTGTTTCTGAGTTCTTTAAAGAACAGCTTATCCAGGTACAGTAAGTAATCACAGAATAATTTCGATTACAAACTCACAACTTCACTGGATTGGATGAAATATATTCTACTCAGCATAATAATTCAGAAAGCCTTAGAAGTTTAAATATGAATTTTCTAAATATCTGTACCAAACACTGTTATGAACCTGCCCTAGGGGAGATCAACTGAAATGGAAAATAGATAGATAGCTTTCATATTTACCAAATGTATCCAGAATATCAGTAATTAATACAAATTTACTTGGATAAAACTGAATTACAGATGTGTCTGCTAAAAGCTTTGAGCACTGTGAAGTAAATAAAAAAACAACCCATTAGTACAGCTGGAAGCCAAAGCATTTAGTGTCTGCCAATGCATATTTGTGCTGCCATGATGTTGCATATTTTTTTGATTAGAAAAAAAAAATACAAGTTATTATATATAGTTGTGCCTCAACTAAAAGCTGAGAATTGTATATAGACACCTTAAGTTAACATAGTGAAATTGATCATTGTAAATAAGTCTCCTTAAGCTACTACAAAAAAATGTTGATAATTGTAAATGGGTTAACAAACTAATTATTGATAATTATGAACTCACCCTCATAAATTAAAAAAGCCAGAAACTATAATTTGCATACCTGGATAGCAATTTTAAGTGCTTTGACCTTTTGATCCTGTTCCCATGATAAAATGAGGGCATCATTAAGCTCGTTGATTCGGTTCACGTAATCTTGTTGACTCAAGTTTAACATCTCCTTCACTGAACCCTACAAAATAGCATCATAATGAAATAATATATTTATATATTATCATTTGGATTCTATTTATGTATACAGATTTGAAAATTTATTTAAAGTTAAACCAATATGTTGTCCAACACCACCCGACAACAGCAAAGACAACCAGCATTCAGCTAGTTGCATTGTCAGGAAAATGACATTGGTTCGAAACATAGGAAAGTAAGTTAATATTTTGGTTTACCTTAAACAAAATTTTCAAATCAGTATGAAACAATATAATTCAAAAAACATGTTCCACTGTTCATCAATAACTTTCCTAGACCAAGTATCTGGCAACAAACTTCAATAAACACAACTAATTATTTTATGTTATTTCATCTGGACCATAATTAAATCCAGTGCATTTGTGTTGAGAATGCCAACCAGAATATAGAAAGTAAAAATATTAACCAAAATAATGAAGACTCACCTCTTCAAAGTCATCAAGTTGTTCTAAGCGGTTTTTAACTTTGTCTGTCACAGTTCCTTGTGATATTTGCGACTTCATGACAACTGAATATTAACAACAGCAAACCAAAAATTTAATTTAAAAACATTTAGGCCCTAAGCAGCACTTATAAATAAATAATTATATTTATTTAATTTCATTCCAAAAAGTTACCCTAAAAGCTAAAAAGTTTAAATTACAGGCCATTACAATACAATAAAAAAACACTACAAAAAATTAACATGAAAATAAATAAAATAAAACAATATTGAGTATTTAAAAAATATATTAAAAACGTTAATATTGTTATATGAAAGTATACCTATAAATACACAAAGATAATGATTCATTAAAAATGCTATGTTTCCACTTACCCTTTTCTCTCTCTGATTGTGATAAGAAACTCTGTGAACAGAAATAGAATGCAAAGATAAAGACAAATCTACCATTAGCTATATTGTTTCAAATCTATTAAAGGTAATAATAATGGAACCTGGGCACTGGTATCAACCAGTTGGCACTCATGGTTCACTCTTGTCATTCAAGCCATAACTCAAGTGCAAGCGATCATCTGGTCGCTGTCAAGTTTTCCTCATCATGCAGTTAATGGTCTTTTCTGGAGTGTCAATCGAACTTGCAACTGACCAATCAGATGAGTTATTTAATACCCAGAAATAGGTGCATGCATGTCCAAACAAAATGAAAGTTATGTACAATTAAATTGTTTATAATGTCCCTATACCAAAAATATCCAAAGGGCAGACTTAGCCTAAATGGCAGAACCATGCAAATGTTCTTCCGACTAATTATTCATGTCTTCCTGTACTGTAATCTGACTTGATATCAATGGTTTGAATTATGTGTCCTGAACTTTGACTTACTGTCGTGATAGAGAGCTTCTCCGAGGTTGTATATGTTGTGAGAATGTTGACCTTTTTGCTGTTCCATGGCTCAAAGGAATCCCCAAGGCTGTCAGACCTTGACTTAACAGAATCTGTCTGCAAGAAAAAGACCAATAGAAATTCAAGTTACAAAAAAAAAAAAAAAATTTTAAGGCAATATAATAAAAAAAATTATTAATTTATCAACATCTGCATGTCTTCTATAGTACTCATCATCACTTTTCCAGTCCAAAAATGTTGATAAACTAACAACTATTTTATTGGGCCTAATGTATTGATTATTAAAAAATCCTTCTTTGGTATGATCTCTGATATCAAACAGCTGCAGCTTTAAAGTAACCTGACTGGCATTGGAACCTACTGAGTCTTTTCTTCCTGGTTTTGTAAAAGTGCCAGAGGCAGCTCTTGAGAGTGGATCGATAGTAGCTGATGCTGCTAGCTGTGAAAGAGGGTCAGTACCATCCAGTGCACTAGACAAAGGATCTACCACTGATGAAGTCTTTGGCGGTGGGGTAGACTTGGATTTTAAACTAGCTTTTCCCGTCTTCTTCACCTTCACCTCAGAAACCTGAAAAAATGGCAGAATACTTTTTTCAACTCTTACTCTTACCAATTAAACAATATGTAACTAGGAACCTCAATCAATTAAAATCTAAAAAAAGATATACAGAATAAATTTCTTTACATACCGGTATGGGTATGAATTTGATATATTTAAAAAGGCAACTGGATTTACTAGTTACTAACCGTAATCAATTTCAAGGGATGTTCAAACGTCGGTTCTGAAGCTAAAGCAGTCTGCTTCCTGTCCCTTTCATAGTTACGCGGTCTTGAGGACCTGTAGAGAAAAAAATTACAAAATTTTCATCATTATTTTAGATTATCCAAATAGAGACGTTAAGCAGGATCATCTTACGTTCAGCCAAAAATAAATTATACTCAAATGTGATATTCTTATTGGGAAACTGACCAAATATGTGAGAATCTCCACGGTCCAGCGCAGTCAAACTTACTGCTCACACACTAGCAAAGAAGCTACCCACCACACTCTCTGTCTGAGAGTAAGAAAAGCGATAATATTTCAATATTCTGAAAATGAGTACCATCGCCCCTCTTCCTCTCTCTGGGTTTACCAGCCTAGCCTTTGCTTTCACATAGTCGAAGTGTGACCATAGCTAGGCCTAGGCTAGCCCTACCGTAGGGCCCACCACAGGCTATAATAATCAGACAATTTCGTCCCAATCCGGTCCGAGCGCGAGCGGTGGGGGCCTGCCAAGCCAATCTAGCCTTCTGTCACTGTCAGACAGCATAGGAGGCTGTTCAACAATTCCTGCTGCACTATTTTTTTAATTATAGACTTAAAAATATTGTTGTCTTATTTCACCTCTTTAAAATTACATGTTTGCAATACTTACCATTCATATGTGGCCATTATTCCAGAATTGAAGGAAGCAGATTCAGCAGATAAGGCCTCATCTGATCTGGAAGGGAAGTTATTGTTTTGCCAGACGTCGTGGGGGATACAGTATCTTAAACTTAAAAAAAAAAGTTTCATGACGACTGGAAGCTGGAAGCCAAAAAAAAAACACTAGCGCCCTCAAGTTGTGCTTCTAGACTTACAAGCAGAACATACATTATCAGAAATATGTACATTTTGGCCATTTACAGCAGAAAGGAGCCTATTTTCCCAAATGTTTGTGTTTACATTTTTGTAGGAGTACCACTTTTCTGTATTCATGAAGTAATAATATGTCCGCAACAGAACCGAAACCTGCTTCCAGTAGGCCACCTCGACGAAAATCAGCAGAGAATGCTAAAAAGTCATGGGTTAAAGGGAAGACGGAATCTAAGCTAAAAGAAAAACAGGTAGGCCTCAGGCTCTGACCTAGTAGTACAGTAGTAGGCCTGGGCTATTGACAGAGTAGTAGGCCTCTTAGGCCTAGGTCGGGCTGGGCTGGGGCTAGGGCCAGGCATAGACTAGAGCTAGGCCTAGGCCTATTCATCTCGGCTGCTTAAATGGACCTAGCATTTTTGCGGAATTTGTTGTAGTTCTCAAATTTTCTAATTAACTTTTTTTTTTTCAAATTTAGGTTATGCAAATAATGAAGAAAAAAAGCTCACAGAGGTCAAAATCTGAAGTGAAGTTCCTCAAAGAAAATGATGTTATTGTAAAAGAATTGGAAAAGAGAGTCCTTCGAAGGAATTTAGCCAAGTTGAAAAAACAGGAGGTACAGAGTGCAATATGTTATTTTAATTTGATATGGGAACTTTTTGTAACTAGTGAATATTATTATTAATTTTAATGAATGATGGTTTTGTATTTCAGAAGAATTTAATATGGTATGTTTTTATTATTTAGAAAATTGTGTTTTTAGCACTAGAAGAAAGAGGAAAACCAATTTCATTCCTGATTGAAATGATAATTAATGTTATTTTATACTGTGTTTGTAAAATTTTAAGGTCCACATTATTGTTAACAATCCAACCAAACACCAACTAATAAAAAAAAAAAAAATCAAAAATAAATATTAAAAAATATATACATTTATAGACATATATATAATATAAGTAAAAATATTATTTTTTTCTTATAAAGAGAGAAGATTCTCCCGAAGAGGTTGTAGCAAAAACTGAAGAACTTGCCAGAGCTATGCAATCATCGAAGTACTGTGTTGTCTACACTGGAGCCGGTATAAGCACAGTACGTGCATTTTTTTCTTATTCATAACCCATACTGTAAAGTTTTTTAATTGCGCGGATAATAACCTAAAAAATCAGCTCAAATTTGTCGGTCGGTAGGAAAGTAGGTGTGCAGAATAGTAATTACTGCATAATACATTGTTTATGTTATATTAAGATTAGTTCAAAAGCTAATTTTTGGCAATATCTGCGTAGAAATCGGCTCTGATTTTTTTCCAAAGTGCGCAGAATCCTAGGCCAAATTTTTTCGCAGAGGATATATTTCCATACTTTACAGTCTGGCCAATAACCATTGATAATATATTATTTTTTAATTAATAACGCTTTGTTTAGAAAAGGTAACGGAGATGGGTAGACTTTCACAGAAGCTTTTCATTGTTTTCCATGAGATTGAGGTCATACACCGTGTGTGCCAACATCTAATCCCTTGGGCATATTCCCTGGCATATGTAAATTCAAAGAAAAAAACTTAATTAAAATAAATAATAGATACATGTAAGCAAGTAGTAATGATATGCCTAATTATGCTATCATATAATCATTGTTAAATGCTTTGGAGCTATTAGTGTAAGGCGTTATATAAATCTAAATTATTATTATTATTAAGCCAAGTGCACAAATAGATGTATATTCACAGTATATGATCAATGAAAATACAACATTTTCAATTGGTTATTTTGTGTTATTGCATTTACTTAAAATGCTGTATTGTTGCATTGAGTATATGTTCAATTAGTGAAGCTATTGTGTCAGTCATGTTACTTTAGTTTATTTATTTGGTTGTAATATTTTATTTACATTTTAGGCAGCTTCTATACCAGATTATAGGGGTCCAAATGGAGTGTGGACCTTACTTCAAAAAGGTCAAATTGTTAAGTAAGTAAGCTTTTTTATAGTCTAAACAATCATGCTGAAAAAGTAGCTGAGATTCAAACAAATTACAAACAAAGGTTTTTTGTTTATAATCTAATTCATTATGATGAGAGGATGAAATTCCACAAATAACACCTTGGTCACATTTTAGGAACATATGCAAATTAGCTAAAATATGCAAATAGTGGTGAAAATATAGGGTTCCCATAGCTTGAAAACTTGCTGTCCACAGAGAGTCACTTCCTTTTTTAATTATTTAGGTCATGCATGTTTCTATTTGCTCTAGTGGAACATTTGCCTTAAAAATAACCAGCGAAAATGCTAATGTTACTTAAACTCATACCAATTTTGAAATGAACATTGACAAAGCTCATAAGTGAAAAATGGAAAAATATAAACACCTTGTAGATGATATAAATAGAAGAGGTATGAAATGTAAATTAATCTGCCATGAAGTGGGAAGTAGGGGACTAATAACCCCAGACAATGACAGAAGGTTACGTGATATAATCAAAAGTAGAAGGAATGTACAATTGACGAAACGAAAAATAGCAGAAATAGCACTAATTTCCAGATAAACCATCTGGAATGCAAGATACAACCCTGCTTGGGAAAACTGCTCAATTTTAAAAACATAAATTTTGAAAACATGCCTCTTTGTAAGCCGATTTTAAACTAATCTTAGCTTTTATATTGAATTGCTGTTTTCGTGTATTGTAACTTGTGAATGTTGTCATTTTTCCTGCAATGTCTGCTTGCGCAGAACGTGACCTGAAATGTTTGTACATTTTTTATATGCTGAATAAAGAATGATTTAATAATAATTAAACTAATTAAATTTTTAACAGGTCAAGGTCGTTGACTGATGCTGACCCGACATTTACCCACATGAGCTTAGCAAAACTGTGTCGTGAGAAAATTGTAAGTATTAACATCTGTGAACATAGTTTGAAAAATTGGATTGGAAGAAGTGTGTTTCATATAAAGTATAACATAATCAGACCTTAAGCGCTCTCCTGAAATTGTAGATTCAAGAACAGCTTTTTGTTAAATATTTGTAAACTAAGGATGTCTTAAGTCGTGTCCAGACTATCAAATTTATTTGAAAAAATCATGTGACATGCCTAAATATGGTCATGATGACATCACATCATGACCATATATAGGCACATCATGACTATATTATGGGCATGCAACAATTTTTTTCAAAGAAAATATGATTAAATCTAGGCAGTGACATGAAGCTTTATTGGTCAATGATTGAACCAATAACCTATGGGTTTGATAGGTGAGCACCTCAACCACGAAACCCCAGCAACTTGATATATTTTTTAAATAAGGATGTCTTAAGTCCTGTCCAGACTATCAAATTTTATTTGATAAAAAAACATGTGATATGCCTAAATATGGTCATGATGACATCACATCATGGTGCATCATGACTATATATGGGATTACAATGTGTTTGTCAAAGAAGATTTGATACTCTGGGCAGTGACATGAAACTTTATTGGTCAGTATTTGAACCAATAACCTCAACCAAGAAACTGCAGCTCTTCAGTGTTGTTGCTATTGTTTTTTTTTTATATTTCCAGGTTCAGCATGTTGTCTCCCAGAACTGTGATGGCTTGCATCGTAGGAGTGGTATTCAAAGAGATCAACTCTCTGAACTTCATGGAAACATGTACATCGAGGTTTGAAGTTTAAAATATAATACAACAAAGAAACAAACTATATTTGAGGCAATTATCAAATCCAAGGATGTAATTATGATGGGCGGGGCCACCCACCCTTGAAGTTTTCCACCCAGTCTAAAGCTAATTTCATAGCCCTCCACCCATCCTTATTAACCCACTTTTCCATCCTTAAAATCCACTTGTATTATTAAGAGTGTAATAATTTGTGAGCTAATATTCTTGTAATATTATGTTATTTCCAATCAAATTTATTAATTAATAATTTTTACAGGTTTGTCCCGAATGCGACCAGGAACAAGAATACATCCGCCTTTTTGATGTGACGGAAAGAACATCATTTCGAAGACACAAAACAGGGAGGCAGTGTACAAAGTGTTTGTCCCCACTGCATGATACCATCGTCCATTTTGGAGAGAAGGGGACACTGGAATGGCCTTTGAACTGGCAAGGGGCAATAGAAGCAGCGGACAAAGCAGACATGATAGTTTGCATGGGATCTAGTTTAAAGGTATAGTTACTATAATTTTGTTGAAGTGGAAGGCACAGCAGTAGTGGCTCGGCTCCTCAATGTGAATTTTGCTGTTGTACTTGGGCACTTTCATTTCATTTCATTTCTTTGGGCACGAGCGCCAAGGATATGCCAATAAGTGAACTTAATCACTGTCCTACGTGGCATATCCATTTAACAACGGGGAACTTAATGTACCAGTACACCAGGGTAACACCAGGGTAACCCCCTACTCGGGATGTACTGGGTTGTTTAAAGTGCACACTTTACTTACTAGTTGTTGATACAAAGATATAACTTGAATTATTGACACTTTTTAATTTCTGTGTTAGGTTTTGAAAAAGTACCCATGTCTTTGGACTACAAATCGTGGTGTGCAGAACAAAACAAAGATTTATATTGTGAACCTTCAGGTAAGAACATTTAACATAAGAAACGTCATACTATAGTAAAAACTACTTGTTAAGAGGTCTTTGGAAAAAAAAAACATTCTTAAAAAGGCTAACTAAAATATTTGATTTTTAACAGAGCAAAAATAGATAAAGTAAATTGATGGATTGAACAATGGGAAAGTAGATATTATACAACACATTGTATTCTTCTGTACTACAGTAACTTATTTATCTTTGTTTATATTTAGTGGACTCCAAAAGATTACAAAGCTGAACTAAAAATCAATGCAAAATGTGATGATGTTATGAAGATTGTGATGAAGAAGCTTAGTCTTGAGGTACAAGAATATAAAAGGTGAATAATTCAGTAAATAATAAAATGAAATAGATAAATAAAATCAGTCTTCAATTATAACAAAGGAATTACAGTATGAATATAATTGTGAATGAAAGCCAGTCCACTTGCACACATGATTTTTCAATAATTGGGTTAAAACTTGGTTTCCATACAATCATTACATCGCTGGCAGCTTTCAGTGATGCTGATTGGTCGGTCAAATCAGGTAGCCTTCCCGATTGCATCAGGGACTGCTACACGCTACACAGTACAACGATTGTACTGAAAGCACTGTAGCGACAGTGTAGCGATTTTAAGGAAACCAAGCTTTATATGTTTATCCTAAGTCATAAATTTGATACAACTGTAGCTTATTTACAGTAACTTCTACCAATCAAAAATCATGCTGTTTACCTAAATATTGATATTTTCTTTTGCATTACAGAGTAAATGACCCCATCTTCCAAGTTGCCACTGCCTTGCGACCCAAAGAAACAAATACCTTCACTACTAAAGTACTCAAAATAAAGAAGGAAGAAGCATCAGATTTGGAGACAGAAAACAAAGCTGGAGTAACAAATGATAATCCAGGGTGGTTTGGGAAAGGGTGCAGGCGAAAAAGTGTGATCAGAAAGAGAAGAAGAGTTGAAAGAACTGTAAAATCAGAAATTTAAAATTTTAACTCTTTTTGTCCAAATACAGTACAAATAATATTTGTTATATAATACTAATATTTAGAAACTGATCTGCCAAAGCATAATAATGATCTATAGAGGTTGATCTGGTGGAGGGAAGCTAGGGATCCCTCAAAAAAAGAGAAGAAAAGATAAGAAAGGAGAAAGAAGGGTGCAAACATTTCTCAATTTTTAGCAAGGTTTTCACTCACTGCACCGTAGGACCGTTGTACGACTGTCATACGACAAATCCAACTCCACTCTGAGAGCGCTAGACGACGTGACGCTGTCTGCAAATTTTTGGTGTCAATCACAACGTCTTGTCATTAAAAACGATCCGTTGCGCGCGCGTCGTCATGTTACATTCTTCGCAGAATCACATCAGGAGCAGTGAATGCCCGGCTTTACTTGCGTGAAAGCGACAAGTCTTGGGAGAGAAATACTGGGACAGATATCCCTGTATTTTTTCGGTCATGTGAATCGGGTAATAGACTACCAAAATAACTTCTGGTTTGTAAAATTGAAGGGAGTTGGTGTGGGGAACCTCCAACAGGCCAGAAATGTTGATTTAAACATCAGGTCTTTTGTGTCTGTACTCATGATTAACTATGCACTCTAAAAACAAAGATTTTATCTCTTCATCATTTAATCAGTTGCATCAGAAACGTCTTGGGTAATAGAAATAATATAAAGTAGATTAAAAGAATAAAATAGATAGAAGTAGCTACTAGGCAATGGATTATTTATTTAGAATCACAGTGTAATATTATCAAATACAATAGTGTACAATAGAGTGAATGAATATGAATAATAGCATACAGATTTTGCCTCAGGTAATTAGCATGATTTTTTTTTTATCTTAAATCTTTCAATCTGTGGTAGCTTGGTGCAATACACTATACCTATTGAATTATTGAAAAATAAAACTTTTGAAAAAAATTAATATTCTTAAAATGTCTTAAATTTTGAATTAACGATAAATGTAGCTTTCTAAATGTTTTGTAACTTTATTAGAGACAGTTGGATGATTTATGTATCAAATTTTATAAAGATTGTAATACAGTACAGTAGTTTAACAATCTAGAAGATAAAGATAATTAATAGAAAACAATTAAAGAAAAAAAAAGGAATAAATAATTTGAATTTTATATTTCAAGTTAAAATATATAGAAAGATTGGATGTGTTAGGATACTTCTTCCCAAATTTATGTGCACGCCCATTTCAACATAATTTTTAAATTTTCAACATTTCAACATCATTTTATCATTCCCATCAGTTGTTATGTCACGAAAGGGGAGGCTCAACAATGCAGTAGAATGTTTCATGATTCTTTGATTAAGTATGGAGATAAGAAGACCATAACGATTGGCTTGGTGTTTCGTAAAAAGACATTGTGTCAATGTTACTGATGAGTAAAGAATATTTCAGGGTTTTTTTGTGTCTATACTGCCCCTGCTGGGGGCTGTAGACACTTAGTTATCGTCCCGCGTGTAAGTTAAGAGTAAATCTATTTTGAGAGTTCAAAGTTCAAAGAGAGGAATTATGGGATATCATTGCATCATATTTAAAGATATAAATTTACCACTATATTTTTCTCAAGGAAATAAACTTAAACAATTTAATAAATTACAGTGTTTGAATTTCTAACTTCGTATGTTTAAATTATAAGCTTTTAATTAAAAATATTTTGCAATAATAAATGCATGATATCTATGTACTATTTCTTGCAAAGATTTATAAATTTGTTTGTGGGTAGGTAGGATGTTTGTAGTATTCTAATGATGTGTATTAGAAGTTAACTTACTTGATGCTTTTAAATACGAATAGTATAGAGTTTTGAAATATTAACAATTCTGATATAGACATTAAGTAGGTAAGTATAATAAACACAAAATTAATTGATATTGTTTTAAAAGTAAAATAAAAGTTGGAAAAATTGTCAGTAGAGTTGAAGTTATGTATTATAACAAATTATACCCAGACAGTACAGTATATCTTAAACTGATTTATACGATTAATTATAAGCAGACAGTATTATTCTTATTTAAGTTCTATTTATATTCAAATTTATTATTACAGAATAGTTTTTAAGGGTATAAGATCAAGGTGTTTCTGGATTTTGTTTTCGAAAATATTAAATTAAACGAAAATGAACAGTTTCACCATTTATTTTAATCGGAAATACAACAAAGAAAAATCACACTCATTACATTATATTGATATTCAAAACAACCACAATAAAAAAGTATGATATTGCAATCATAAAAAAAAATCAAAGGGAAAATAATTCGTGACTATTGCGTCAAAACGCATTTACCGTACTTATCCGAATAAACGCCCCCTCGACCTCATTTAAAATAAACGCCTCCCTCGAATAAACACCCCGAGGCTACTATTTCTTTCTTGAATAAACGCCCCTCTAAACAAATCTGATGGAAGCAACGTCATTCTCAACACATTCTATTAATGTTTTACGCCAGGAGTATTACATTTTTTCTAACCTGGTTGGGATCAGTAAGTCTTTACGATCACGCAGTAACACATTTTGACGGTAACTATATGTTGTAGTTCCACATTTACAGTAAAATTAAGTTTATTAAATTAAGTTTATATTGAGTATATTCGTATCCTTTTTACGCCAAAAAATATACGCCTCCCTACAATAAACTTCCTCTCAAAAACTCTTCTCAACATAATTCGTATATGAATCTCATTCAATTTGATGCAGTTCGAAGTTTCAGTCACACGATATAGATAGGTAACAAGAGTTAGTTCGATGAGAATGCATTCTCCATATTACCTTGTGAATTTTCAAGAAACTGGACATAATTTTGATGTTTACTAGGCTTTAGATGGCTACCGTCATATATATATATATACATAAATATATATACATATATATATATATATATATGTATATATATGCATATTTAGTAATATGGATATAAATGTATAATATATCGTATGTATATATTATATTTATAATAACATTAAGTACTGTATATGCCACGTATGTCTTACCTGATAATCAATAAACACGATCAGTAGTAGAAACGATACGTTGACATATAAGACGTAGGGCCTACTATATTATATCGAATATTTCGGGCACGCTTGGCACTTCTTTAGCGATATATTAAATATTATATATAAGTATATATTGAATATAAAATGATTTCCTTATAATATTTAAGCTATAGTAAATACTAGGCCTAAATCATTTGATATATGAGTGTATCTGCTCAAAGTAATTTCCACCTCTATTACAATTTGGAATTAAATAAGTATGTTTGGAATTAACATATTAAATCTAAAGAAATATACTGTATATACAAAATATTCTGGTATTGCACCGCTCCCCTCTCTCTCTCTCTCCAGTGGCTGAGTACCTATTGACATCGGGTCAATGGGGGCGCGAAGGTTATGCGGTGGGACAGGGTCCGATGACTAAGAGGGAAGAATCAGGTAATATAAAGTGACTTGTATACGTAAACGTAATTTTAAATGCTCAGCATTTCCAGGAATAGAGCTGAGTACCGGGGGTAAGTGTTTCATAGAAATTTTGTAGTAATAAGGCTGACATAATATTTTCATTTACAATTATTGTTAATGTTATAATTATTAATTATTATTATTATTATTACTTTTTATTTGAATAATCTGACAATCTCTAAAGTGATTTTATTTACGCTCCGATATTATACATACGTTATCTACCCCATCTTATCGATACGACACATAAACTCTTTCTGATTTTCTTACAGTAGGTACAGTTTCATAAACATCTGTGTACTCAGTAACATAGCTTCGTGACGACCTGTCTCTAAATTCTGGTGATACGTGTCTTTCTACCACACGTTCGCTGGCGGTCGTTTCAACTACATCTCTGTCGGAATACGTGCTGTCGTCGTAATAAGCTATTTCTCTAGGTTGATATTCATATTGGTCATTTCTTGTAATAACTCTTCTTTCCATGATATCTCTCCCGCCGTACGTATCGTCGTAGTAAACTGCTTCTCTAGGTGCATATGCATAGTCATCATTAACCCTTCTTTTAATTACTCTTCTGACGATGATGTCTTCACCGTACACATCCCCATATCCACCATAACCAGTCTGCACTACCCTCGGGCCAGTGAATGCTGTTTCAACAACTCTACCATCAACGTAATACGCATTACGTTCAACTGAAGTGTCTACTACTTCTACATTGGACTTTGTGGCGCTGACAGTGCTGACGACCATGTTGCTTTCTTCAGTTTTAACATCAACAACCTCTTTTGAAGATTCTTCGCTGCTCTAAATAAAAGAAACAAAAGGAATGGAACATTAAACTATTTCTTTTGCAATTCATTATTGTGCTGTGTGATTTGTTGTGTTAAAGAACAAATTAATTAACTTCTTAATTTGCTAATGGGTTATTTTTAACGCACGGAATTCTGGAAGATCGCTTACTCGCTCTAACCAACCCATCATTACTCGTCATTCTATAAATGAAAATTAAAACTCACCATCTTACTAAGCATCATGAGACCTTTCAGAATAACTCCTCCCATCATGGCATTGGCCATCGTAAAGAGATACTGCAACCCAACATTCGTGAGTGCTATAACACCGAAGATCCATAGGGAACCAAGAAGTAACACTAGGCCCCCATACATAAGCAATTTCAGCCTGAAAAACACCGATTTAAATTGTAAAGAAATCCATCGCTTAAGCAGGTGACATTTCGAATAGTGAGGTATGAAATAAACAATGAAACAACAATTAAATGCATTCATTTAAAAGTGTGAATCAAAAGAAAAGTAAAATGTAATTAACACGCTAACAAGACAATAAACAACAAAATAATAGTTTTAAAAAGTTTGATAAAAACTACAGGAAATAAGGAATGCCACAATACGACATAAATTAATTATAATTTTAAAAAAAAATAAAAATCATGTTCCTCACAACTTAAAGAAAATTGAAAAAGTTAATAATTATTGTCTTGAAATCTGGAAAACCTAAATTTAATTAAACCACTTAACAGGCAAATAAAAATGATCATTTAAAGACATTAATCTCCAATGATACGCAGATGAAAGGTCAATTTTAAGATTAGAAAGTAAATTCTTACATTTGATGAGAATCTCCGTCACCATCTTTCTTGGACGTAATTGAACAGCATAGTAGAACAATTAGACCAATTAAAGCACCCTGTAATAGAAATCGATAAAATATTATTATTTTATTGAAAAATCTTAATTTATAAACACCTCTTAAAAAATCATCGTTCGTATATAAAAGTAGGGAATATTTTTTCATTCATTCATGCACTCACTCATTTATTTCAGGTACAGACTTATGCAAAACTAACGACTTAATTACTATAAAAGCGGAAAAGTGTTTAGCACTGAGAACAAAGAAAAATACTTTGATAAAGATACAGTCACAAATGACCTTAAAACTAATGTAAAATACCGGTATAAATTTAGCTGTGTAGGCTGTAGTGCCATTTACAAATAAGAATTAAGGAAATTTTCATTGTTTTCATTTGACAAAACTCCAACATATATCTACAACAAAATAATAAAACAAACGTAAAGAATAATTCAAACAAACGTAAATCCAGGATCAACTAGACTAATTTCATACAGGGGCGGCCCCAGGAATTCCCCGACGAGGGGTCCAAGCTCCCCGACAAGGTGGGCCACATCTCCTCGTTGTGAAAGCCTAGCCCCCCGCTCAGGGAAAAAATAATTTGTCGGGGAAATTTTGTATTAAAACATAAAAAAATGAGTGTTAATTATGGGATTCTTTATTTAAAAAGGATAATTTGATAGAAAACCATGCAATTTAAGAGCCCCCTGTCGGGAGTTATACTAACTGTCGGGAAAGTGCTAGCGTCACCACCAGTGCCGTAGCCAAGATTCTCAAATAGTGTGAGACAATCAGGGTGGACCCACTTTACGTGACGTGTAAATTCAAATAATGTGGACCAATTTTCTTGAAAGGTGTCCCATTTTACGCCAAAAATGAAAAATCTGGACCCATTTTCTTAAAAATTGACGCATTGCGCAAAATATGGGAAATCTGGACCCATTTTACACAAAATGTGAGAGATCTGGACCGATTTTTAAAATGTGGACCCATCTTTGTAGACCTATTAGAAAAATTGTGGGGACTGTCCCAACTGTCCAATAGCTGGCTACGGCATTGGTCACCAACTGCAACCCATACGATCGCGATAGTATACAACACCGCTCACTGCACGCACTAAACAGTTTTTAATTCCTAAAATTTAACAGAAGGAATGCTTTAATTCTACTTTCGGCACTCGATATTTGGTTTTCCCCGACGACCTCGCTGGAAATTCCCCGATAGGGGGTCCTTTGCCACTAGGACCCCCCGCTAGCGCCGTCCATGATTCATTATCATAGATCAGTATTGGTTTTCAGTTACAAAATCCAAGAAGCCCTCTACATCAGTCTGACGAATTCCAAATTTACGTTAGTTAAACCATAGAGCTCTATGGTTAAACAATATAACATTCAGTCTGTAATAGTACTAGACTCCACTACACATTGATTTTCATTGGTCAAAATAGTTTTTCACAAACTTCAAGACATAGGCCTACGTATATTATTCATTAAACAAGCAAAATTTTTTTTTATTATTTTAAAAGAGATAAAAAAACATTAATGTGCTGGAAACTCACCAATATAAATACACATATAGGTATAATAAGTCCCCAGATAGCGCCGTTTTCAGGATTCGGCCAGTTTCTGGAATAATTCATTGACATCATTATTAGTGATTTAAAAATGATTATCATGTCACACCCATTAAAAGGGCATGATGATATATCTTGGAAGTATACCTCAACGATGGTCATAACACACCCAAGCATGGGCAAACTACATGTATCCGTAAACATAAAACTCTATAGTGTGGATCAGTAATGCAAACATATCAGCCCTTTAAATCTGATCTGAAACTATAAGCTACGCATACATACCTGTATTGGCTTGACGTGTACTCGTCCCAAAGAGGTCCACATGTTAAAGCAACTATAAGCAATGGAAATGTCCAAGCGAAAGCATGGTAACAACACTTGCGATGACGTTTGTTCCAAGACGGACGAAACACGTCTATACAAAGGTCTATTATCAATATAAATAGCCACAGGAATACTAGTACAACAGCATATTGTAATGCCATTGCTAAAGCATTTTGTTCATCCTGGCAAATTAAATTTGAAACCGTTGATCACATAAAATGTCCAATTAAAAAGTGTCAAGTATAATTACATTAAAAAATGATAGAATAATAGAGTCACAGCAGACATCGATCAACAGTTTGAATTAAAACGGATTTTTAAATTGTATTTTTCGTAGTGGTAAATTGTAGTACTATTGGCGGATTCTAGGTGGCAGAAAGTACTTATCCTTATAAAGTTTATCTACAAACCTTGTAAAATTTCTGATAAATACACTGATATTAAAAATGATTATAATTAATATTAAAGTATGCTTACTCTGGTTTTGACCTTGTCGAAGCTAGTCTCCGCCAACAAAGCTACGTTAGAGGCTTGAACTGCGATGATGACGTTTCGAACAATATTAGATTCAGGCATTGACTTCAATTTTCTGAAAATGCACATATTGTGAACAAATAATTCCAAAACATTTTTGCTAAAAATCAATTTCATTTGAAACGATCAAGTAAGCTACCAACATTTCTCTCGTATACAAATAGATGCGTCTGTTTAACTGGTGAGCAATGTATTTGCGTCTCCCTTGTTTGAAAAAGTGGGAAAAAAATATCAAAATTTGAATTTTAGAGTTTTAATGTATGCAGAAAGCATAGCTTTAAATCAAAACTTAAAAAGTCACTTAACGACTGGAAGCTTTAATTTTATTTTAAAACTACTCATTAATGTTTCAGACCGTGGTAAACCTAGTTAAAAGCATAATGCTGATTTACATCAAATGATGAATCAAGTGTTTCATACACTTTGAGTAGGCCTAGGGAGTGAAGATAAAATGAAAAGAATGAAAAATGAACTACATTGAAGTTGCTGTATTTATGTTTGTTTATATGGTTCTTTCATGATGTTGCGCTATGGCCTATTACAGGGCGATGCTCAGAGTGATTTGAATTCCACCAGGAATTATGTTTAACGCCATCTATTGAGAGAACCTCTCTGTAACTAGTTACAATGTACAAACATGGATGCGCCAACAACATTACTCTAATTTAATAACATGAGCAAGAAAATGAATTCTTACGCCATCTTCACCAATGCCATTATACTAGCAGCCGAAACAGCTATATTGGATGCAGTACCAGCTAAACCAACAGCCTTCAACGGAGGATCCATACCAAGCTAAAAAAAGAACGAACATTTATATTAGAAGCTCCGGAAAGGGAGTTTAAATTATTTTCAGTGTAAAGGAGTGTGGTCTCATCAGCATACGAAAGGAATCGATAGATTTAAAAGATGATACCAAAAAAAAGAATATATATCATTGATGTATAACCAACAAGAGGGGTGGGTCAGAGCAGATACCTGGGGACTCCGCATGTAATAGGAAGTGACTTAGAGCAAAAGTTTTTAAAATTTAATGCATTGTTTACGATTGCTAAGATAGCTTCTACACAAATTATAGGTCGGGCCCCAAAATCCATGATTAATTAAGTTAAACAAAAGAATGTCATGGTCAATGGTATCAAACCCGATTAATAGATCTTTCAGGAGTGTCAATCAAACTTTATAACTGACCAATCATAACAG